GTATAAATTAACCAACTCATTTAAAGGCCGTTAATTTATTTATTTAACTTCACCTAGTAAATTGAAAATAAAACATGTAAATGTATCTACATAATAAATAAGTAACTTAGATTGTTTTATGTTTTAACACCTTAATTTTTTTATGTTTTTACCTCAAAAACCTTGTTACGTGTGTATAGCTAACAATTATATGTTATCAGATAGTTTAAAATAGTGTTTTATCTTGTAATAGGCTCTGATAAATAGGTATGAAGTAAACACTTTGCTCTGCGACGCCTTTTTCTCGTTTTTTTTTATCCTATACCTAGGTCTCTACGAACGTCCAACTTATATAAGTGTCTAAATTCACTTTACTTATAATAAAAACAAATAAAAGACGATTTAATAAAGAATTTTCTATCAAAATAAACGAACTTTATTCAGGCTCAATGACTCTACTATAATGATACAAATATTTCTACTAATATTATATACCACTAATGTACCTACTACCATCAACACATAGTATCTACTTAGAGATGGTATATACCCAGTTATATTTTGTGCATCTACAGGAATCGGTCCTTTTTCTATTTTGGTGCGTGACAGTAAAATATAGTTCCCTTATACTGCCCAAATCTAATTTCGTTTGACGTAAAATTTATGATAGCCAAGACCACTTGGCACGTAAGCAATATGCAAGATGTGCAATTCTAGTCGATCTTTATTTCCCGTTTTATGGCCACGTCTACTTGAGTAATGAAAAACTATAAACTTCGTGGGGATGTCGAGGCGAGGGTTGTTGGAACCTTCCACGTTTATCTTTGTGCGACGAATGGGAGATCTTTATTTTACGAGCCACAATTTCGCGAGGGAACCACAAATATGGCTGCACACATTTTAAGAGTCGAATAAATTACATTATATTTCGCAATGTTTCCTTATTATAAAAAAAAAGTTGTCAAATTCTAACCATTAGTTAGATAGAAAGCTTTGTTTAAAGTGGTAGATATTTCACATCAAAAAGTTTTTGTTTTCACACTTTACCTATCCTTATTTACTACACATATAGTTAAATTTAATTATCTTATATAATTATTATCTAGCCCAGTAGAGACAGCAAGAGAATAATAATTAATTAGTTGGATCAAAACACGATCTAAAAGATGAGAATTTATTCAACTTAAATTTAGATACTATAAGTAAGAAGAATTCGGTTTGTTTTTATATTATATATTATTATTATAGCCTGTGGTTGTTTTTCTTTTTATACGATTTGTTCTCAAGAAAATAATTAAAAGACTTAATAAATTGTGTAAGACTTCGGAACGGCCATCGTTCAGCATATCATTGTCTTTCGGGCTGTTCGGCCGATGTGAGCGAGAAGAGGTTCTCGACGTTTCGCCATCATGTTTGGACTAATTCTTCGAGCAATCGAGGAGTTAACATCTCCTGATGATACCGTCCGACACGTGATGGCGAAACGTCGAAAACCTCTTCTCGCCCACATCGGCCGAACAGCCCGAAAGACAATGATATGCTGTTTAAATGACTTATTTTTCTCTTTTTTACCAATAAATAACTATTGTTAAATTCCGTTAATAATAATCCTTTTCTTAATTCTTAAATAAATGTATGAATATTTAAATAAAAAAGTTACTTATTCCAAGTTTTCATCCAGACCATAGGGGGTAAAATTAAAAAAAGACGCCTATTGGACAATGTTGTTGTCAGAATAACAATAAGTCTCATTACCGAAATAAAAAAAAATCATTTCTGCGCCTTCTAATAATATTTTTAAAGTAACTAAATATGAAGAGGTTCAATAGAAATCACAATATAATAGAGAGATCAGAGATGGGCCGAGTACTCGGTTGATACTCGGTACTTTGCGTTCTCGGCAGGCTTAGTGATACTCGAACTCGGCCGAATAACTCGTTATACTACTTTATTATTTGATAACGAGTATACATTGTTTAAAAAAAGCAATATACATATTACCTAAAGTACTTAGATATAATTTAAACAACAGTGTTAATCCAAGAATATTTATTACTAATTTAGGAAATCTTTAATAAGTCTCAATTAATAAACGCGTTTGCAAACAATCAAGTAACTGGTAGTTGGAAGGCGTGGGCAGGGTGAGAGGTATATCAAAGCGAGCCGTTTCACGTCTTGACCGTTTACGCGCGAAATGCTTGTACTTGTTTACGCGCGAACCGAGTTACTCGGCCGAGTACTCGATTGAAAAATAATTGAACCAAATAAAACTCGGTACTCGTTACTTGGCAAAACTGTTACTCTCTACTATAGTTTTAATATTGTTAACACTTACACTCTGCGTGTTTTATGCTTTCCTGCCTTGCATATTCCTTTGCTTATATGTATATCTATACTAATATTTAATGCTTTAGAGTTTGTTTGTTTGTTTGAACGCGCTAATCTCAGGAACTACTGGGAATAACAATAGAAGAAAAAACGAGGAAGGTTAAGGCACAAAACATCACGCTATGACTAATAGGAGAGAAGAAGCAGCCGGATAATGTGAAAAAAAAAACTGAGAAAATTTTTCATCTTTGTGGGTTTCCGATGCGTACTTACGCTGCGAAAACGGTTCAAGATTCCCAAAAAATATGTATAAAAGAATTATTCCTTTTTCAGTGACTTAAAAAAATGTCCGCGACACTATCTTTGAAGGTTAACTTGCAAGAACGACGAGGCCCGGATCGCGAGCGACGTGACACGTCCGATGTCGATGTCGGATAGCAGTTTAAATTTTAAAAGATGAAGAGGAGGTTTGCAAAAACAAATTTGGATGCCCAAAATAACTATTCCACGCGGACGAAGTCGCTGACACAGCTTCTTGCTAATATGTAGGTACCTACCTATTTCCGTGGCCACAAAACTGTGTTACTCTTTCTTCATATCAGCTTAACAATTAACATCAATAAAAGGTACCTATATTTCGCAGAAATCTATAATTAGATACTCTTCTATAAGATTACCTACAAAAAGAGATAGGTACATAAAAGGTAATTATAACAGACGTTGAGATATTGAAAGTAGTTCATTGAGTTACCTAGAGAGAATGTCGGCTCAGTCCCTTCCGTTTCATCGATTTTTTTTTTCAATATAATTAGATTTGCAACAAAGGTTGATAATTCGTTAACTAAGGGAAATTAAAGGCACTTTTTGTAATCGGTCCAATAGTACATACAATACCTGAATGACTAATGACTGGTTTACATTATTCTGGCGACTGAATTCGGCACTGGTCTACCTATTGGAATACCACAAAAATGGAATACCTCTATTATTGGAATAGGTACTACAAACACAATATAGTTTAACAATAGTGAATTATTAGATTGATATAATATAAACCCTTATTAAATGGCCTGTACAAAAAATGGCACTTCAACAACTACAACTTACACTTATTAAGTTATTGGTAGTATTATTACTACCCTAGTAGAATTTAAAATCCCGAACGGCACTAGCTACGCGTCATCGCCAAAGACATTCTACATATTTTGAATACTTAAGCTGTGCCAGCGATATCGTCCGCGTAGACTACTTAGTCGGCACAATGGCGGATCCAGGGGGGCAAATTATTAGATAGTGTTTGGTCATGGGGTCACGACCCCCCGAGCTGGTTCTAGGCCTTAGGGGGACCACAAGAATAAATATTTTTTAATAGGTACAGTGTATTTACGGTCATCAATAAAACTACTTACTAATACCTACTTTTTCTTTGTTGATATTGTTATCAAAATTAAATTATAAGTTTTTGACTTGACCACGACTATGTGACCTCCTTCTGGCGCCAAAGCTGGGTCCGCTCTTGAGTTGGCATCAACGTTTATTTTTGTAAACGTCTTCCTCATCTTTATCAATTAAAAATGTTACCTACGGCGAAAAAGAAAAGAACGATGGTCGCTCCCGTCGGTCTTGCAAGTTAATCCAAAAAGAACACACATATTATGTCGCTGACATTTTTTTAGATCATTTGAAGAGGAATCATTTTTTACTTATTATTTTTCTTGGTATCTTAAAACGTTTGCACAGCGCACACAACGGAAACTCTCAAAGATGAATAATTTTTTCGTTTGTTTCACATTTCTTACTGTTTCTTCGCTCCTTTTTGACGCATCCTTATGTTTTTAGCCCAAAGTCTTCCTCGATAAATTACCTAACCAGCACAAATTATTTTTTCAATTCCAACAAGTAGTTCCTGAGATTAGCGCGCTCAAACAAATGAACTCGTCAGCTTTATAATATTGTATAGACTATAGATAGAATAGATAGTAGTGTGACAGATATAACACACCAAAAGTAATTTTTACCTCCTAAAAATCGATTAACAACGTTTTTGTTTATGAATTATTTCAAAAATTAATTATTTAAAATTAAAAAATATGAAATACACTCCACAGATTATGAATAGGTTACAGGTTTTATATTTGTCTATGATGTTATTTATAAAAGACGTTCTTTTCCCTAGCCCAAACTACACATTAAAAGTAAAACTTTCTCTATGGTCAGCAGCTTCCTATTGGTTGAAAAATTCATCTTGTTTTGCTTTACCAATATGGCGCTGTTAGTGCTATGAGATGACAACATCGCAGTTTGTGTCCTAATTGTCGTAAATAAATTCGATAAATCCGACGAACAGTAACTACCTCAAATGTGTTAACGATTCAGTTATGTTAATTAAATATATTTTGCCCAAAGACCCGTTGATTGTGAATATTCTTCGATTGTATATTCGAATGCGTCCCTGAGGAAAGTACCTATAAGTGTATAGATCTCGTAAAAATGGCGGGTCTGTTATCTTTAGGGTTTCTGTTTGCCTTTCTCTAACAGAGAAACATTATAGTGAATGGTAGTGATAAACATACACGCCGCTGTGATAAATGTAACATTTGTGCATGGAAGCAACATGGACTTATTATTTTGACGTTTAGAGAGAGGTTTGTCAAGACGGCGCGGGTGTCATCGTTTTTGATGAAATTATCAGAATGTCGCGCTGGGGTAGAGGCCGAAGCGGCAGTGTGGCTGTGCCGCTCGATAGTGCCCTTTTTAGAGAGAATAGTAACTGTCCTTCAGCCGCCCGTTCCGCGGGTACTGTGGGAAAGTGGGGAATCACAAGTTTTACGTCAATCAGGAGCGCTCCTTACGGTAAATAATTACTTTCTTATACTGTATTAGATAGTTTTACTGTATAAAATTTTCTTTCAATTTAGCAAACATTATACCATGGTCAAATTCTGTATCTTTGCCCATTTATTTCAGCTTTCCAAAGTAATGTACACAAAAAGCCTGTTCAAGATCAAAATAGTCCATTGACAGTGCCTGCAGTTGAAACAGAACAACCTCCTCCAAAGCCCAAAAAGTTTTTCAAATCACGGAATACTGAACAATACCCACCAGTTCCACAAATAACATATGCTCCTCCTGTGCTTCCTGCACCACTTTCACCAGAACATACTACAAAAGAAAAGAAAACTAAAAGGGGTAGATATAATAGAGATTCATCTTCACCTGAATTGCCTCGACGTAATTCAGAAAAATCTCGAGGTAAAAAGTCCTCTATTGCTACTAAAGCAGCCAGAAAAGAAGACCCTTCTGCTGAAAGTTCACAGCCGCCCAATAAACGTTATTTGGTACGGAATCGTGATAAAGTAATAAATTATGCAGAAGATGGTAGTAATAGCCCCATACCAGAATTTTCTAGATATGAATCATTACAACCCAAGGTTTCTACTCCTAAAGCCAGTCCTCTTATAGAGAGCCACTCACCGAAAGCAGTTGCTAGTTTGTCCCCTGCTAAAACAGAAGTTGTCAGTCCCTCTACTAGTAAAGATAGTAATGAAGAGAGAAAACCTCCTCCGATAGTGCTACGCATCTCAAAAGGCACTTCAAGAATTGTAAGCACAGATTCCAATGAAGGTTTCACATCTCCAGGGTCTGATAGACATTCTTCACTTGATAATCATTCAGAGTTAGGGTTGGATCACAAAAAGAGTCCATCTATGGAGGCTATATGTTCACCAAAGCATGAAGGTCTTAAAATAACTATTAAATGTTCAGGATACAATCAAGAAGGCAAGAAGGAAAAGAAAAAAGATAAAAAAGATAGTCACAAATCACATAAAAAACATCACAAAGCATCTTCTGATGATGAACCGCTTAAGAAGCCCAGTTCTCCGCAACCTGGGTCAGAAAATTATGAGCTGTATAATACACTTGCTTCCCCAGTACATACACCAATTCAAGAAAAGAATTCCAATAAGAATAAGCAAATAGATCTAATAGAGTGTCAATTGGCTAAGTTAGACGCAACTCCAGAGGAGAATGAAGTTAATGAACCAGTTTTGGAACCCAAGACATTGGAACCGTCATCAGGGAGATCCAGAAGAAATAGACCTAATGTTAACTACAATGAAACAGATGATGAGGTATACAATATAGCAGCAGGTCTGGCTAAACAAGCAACAAAGACTGTTAGTGACATTAAAAGAGAATCGAGGAAAACTAGAAAAAAGCATGACCTAGTAGCAGATAGTATTGTTAATGATACACCTGAAGGTCCATTAGAAACGGAAATGCAAAGCCCATCTGAATCTCCCATGGAACATGACGATTTGATTAATATTCTCTCAGGAAATGACACAAGTGACAGTATACTGAAACTTAAACTAAATAAAAAACAAAAACACAAGCATAACAAACATTCTAGTCCAGAATTGACAGAGGTACCAGATGGTATTCTAAATAATGACTTACGGAATAAAGAACAGCTAACAGAACAAGAACATGTAGTTGAAGCTCCGCAAGAAGTGAATGAAGTTTCAAATCTAATACAGACACAGTCCTCAGACTCTGCCTATAATAGTTGTCCCAATGAACTCTCAGAAGAAGAGTCACAAAAGCTATCTCATGATGTGTTCAAATCGCCACATTCAGAAGATCATAGTGAAGACAAACCAAGTGTCAAGCTAGTGATCACTAAGAAAAAAGGTTCTATATTTAAAAGTAAATCTTTAGGGAATGATGACCCTTCACCACTGCCTGCAAGAAAACGACGGCATCTTTACAAACATGAATGGGCTAATGATGTAAGTAGATCATACATTTTTAAAATCAGGTTGTCTCATATGGTAGGTAAAGTCAGTAGGTGATCAGCCTTCGGAGCCCTATTAATTCAAGCACTAATGTGTGTGTGTGTGTGTGTTAAAACGTTTATTAACTGAGGCCATAGTGGCGACATGTTTCACAGTAGAGTTTTCATAACATATAAATTTATTATGCAATCAGGTTCCTAAAAGTACTACTGTTTTGTTATTTGTAATAAAATTAAGAAACAATTGCATGCCTTTGTAACAAATTATGCAGTAAACATGTGTGCAACACACGTAATAAAGATAATAAATATATTGTTAAAATTAGTCTGTTTTGTTTACAATAACTGATATTCCTTATCTTTTTTTTATTGCATAAAATAAAATCGAAATATTTTTTCTCTCTTACCTTTCAATATATGCTGGTTTTATCCAAAAAATAATTTATGTTTGTTGTAAGTTTTGTAAACAATAAATACCAATACAGTTGATTTTAAAATGTAATTTTAATTTACTTTTGACCATTCTTAATAGCATTTGACATTTAAAATTTATTTTCACAGAAGGGCAATGAAACTCCTAGACCAGAGCGGCCTGAAACGACAGTCCAAAATCCAGTTGCTCAGTTATCTGAAGAGCTAACTAGAGTGACTCGGTATAGGGCAGCTGACCCCATCCTCGATGATCCAATATCTAATGAAACTGTAAAACCTTACACTAGCGTAAAATGTGCAAAGGAAGCAAAAGAGGTATGTGCATATAGATTCTGATGATAAAATATAGAAAATTTTCTGTATAACTAATTACTCAAGCTAGGTAATTAATACTATGAATAGCCCAATTCTTACTCATTGAAACTATACTTCCTTTTTCATTCCTTTCTCTTTGCTATTCTAATTAATATATGAAATAATTTGGTTTTATTGATATTAAAACTCAGAGAATAAAGCATGATTTGCATTAATAATTTATAACCTTGCTATATTATTTTACAGTACTATACAGTTGTAAGAAATGTGAAGAAGGCCCATCAGATACAAGAAATTGGCGAATTTCAAGAGTTTAATGACGATGTTGAGTATCTTCTGGACGCTTTACAGGTTAGTTATAGTGTTATTAAAATACTTATTTTTTCTATCGGGGACACCTATAGAAGGCTGAGTGATCAGTACACACCATCAGTCATTTCCCCCAAGTTATTAAAATATAATAGTAACTTTGTTACACATGATGAACAATGCCAAGGAAAAATGTGAAGTCCACTATCCCCTACATTGGTCATATAGCTGGTAAATTTGGCCTATCTAATAAGTATCAAAGCTATGATAGCGAAGGCAATGCTAGTACTGGTAGTGAAGCAAAAAAAAAAAATACTGAAAAATAAAGAATAAATATATATAACAGGCTAATAACCGATACATATTAACGAATATAACAGGACAACAATCCCATGTCTACTCGCTGCCTGTCCGCTATCACGCTAGCCAGTAAGTGCACCGCGCCGGCGTTCCGCATGCATTTGCGAGCACACGGCACCGTGCAGAAATTCTTCAGCGCGCTGCATGACGCCACCAATGATCAGGTACAAATAGTTGATTACTATGACCATTTAAATTCATATCTCATGGTATTGCACTTCTTATTTTCTTTTTTTATACATCAATCAGATAAATCATATTATTTTAATGTAAAGTTTGCATTAACCACAAATTCGTCCTTACATTTTCATATTACTTGCATGAAACTATGTGACTATACCATGTATAACCGGCGTTTTATATACAAACAATAATAGTGAGAATATAAAATTTTGAAAAATATCTATTGCCACAATGCGTAAAATCTGCCCGCATATTTTCGTTTATTATAAAACTTGTGTTACCGACATATATAGTTTTTTTATCACTCATATCAGCATTTTCATATTACTCTACAAAAAATTTTGCTCATGATGTGTGTTATTTTCACGTTGTAATTACAGAGCTTGGGGTTGTGTACAGCCACAGTGATGTTTGTGCTCTCCCAAGATCGTCTCAATATGGATTTGGATCGCGAGTCCCTAGAGCTCATGTTGAATCTTCTAGAGTCCGATGCCTCTCACAAGTGAGTATACCTTTATTTAATAAGGCCAGCCTTCGAAAACGGTGCTATTATAATCGCTATGTTTAGTCATTAGTCTCTCAAGTAGTTGTCTCATGTCAAATAGGCGTGATGTTTTTTACGTCACTATCCATACTCAGTCTACATACCAACTTTGACTGTTACTAATGGAATTTTTTTCTGATCGGCTCGTGTCGTTACTATTTAATAGAATGTAGATAGAAGGAGGAGAGTGAAGTGTGTTTTTGAGAATATAGGTTATGTATGTATGTATGCACTTATTATTATTTTTTTAGTGAGATTTTTTCATGACTTCCATAAAAATATTATCCGTTGGCCATAAAATAATATGGCATTTCTCAATATAAGTAACATAACACATTCATAATGTAGAAATGCCTTGGACGATTGCGGCCTAACGTCGGCACAGCTTGCCAAGACACAAGAAAGAGTACGAGAGTTATGCGCTGAAATCAAAAACCAAGGGAAGGCCAAACATCTAGATTTGGATAACATTACTGTAAGTACTGCAAGAGTATATTCAAAATAAGTTACCATACATATTTCAAGAGCTAACTCACTACACAAAATTCCCTGCTCTCCGATTGAAATTTATTTACAAGCTTTAAGGCACAAAATACCAATCTTATCAATATCTTTTAAGTTGTTCTGTCTGTAAAAAACCTACTTTTTCTTACTATTTTTAGGATAAGCAAGGTATAATTTTAAACGTGCCTACCTATAAAATAAATTGTAACACTCTCAAAACAAACCTGTTTTAATAGGTCGGTCATTTAGCCATGGAAACTCTTCTATCTCTAACCTCAAAACGAGCGGGCGAATGGTTCAAGGAGGAACTACGGAACCTCGGTGGTGTGGATCATATCGTGCGCACGATACAAGACTGCGTAGAGCGTTTGCAAGCGCCGGCCGCTGTTTGGACGGATGCGCACCTCGACGTGCTTAGGAAGGCGGACCGGTGTATGAGAGTGCTTGAGAATGTAAGTTTTTTGGCTAATACATAGAGTAAGTTAATAAGATAAGTGATTTTACGTGGAAATTTTTTTTTTAAACAAATTCGATGATACGATAGCTCAGTTGGTAGAGTAACAGCTCATATAATTGCTGTCTAGTATTTAAGTCCTGTCCCCTATCATCCATATTTTTATAAATAAAAACGTTATATATTTAAAACAAATATGTGGAAAGTTTTAATTTAATTTCCGGACTTAAGAAAATCTCTATAATTATTTTGACGTCTTTAAAGCTAATAATAATACAGTGCAACCTCGATATAACAAATCGGAGGGGAACAAGAAAATATTCGTTATATCAAGTAATTCGTTGAACTGAGGTTTGTTATGTTGAGGTTAGATTGGTCTAAAATTCGTTATAAAGAGGTAAACGAATACTTCAATGTTTCGATTTCTGCAACCGATAAGTAACACCTTTTATGTTTCTGAGCAATTTTAACTTAAATCTTTAACAATAGCAGAGGTGTTTACATTACTTTCCATCAAAACATACAATGATTACTTTACTTTATAAAGTTGTTTTGGGTTGGCAACCCTGAATTCGCCTTAATTAGAGGTATGAATCTTTTTATTGATATTTGAAAGTTGTTATAAATTCTTTGCGTACAACTGTACGAAAGAAGTTCGCAATGTAAAAGTCCCTATTTTATATTGACTCTTATGGACAATTCAAGGGGATTAGAAGAATGTGTTATCGAGGAGCGTTATATTAAATTGACTGTATAAGAAAGAAGAATGCAAAATTTTCCCGTATTACAGGTAACACAAATGAATGAAGCAAACCAGCAACACTTGATAGGAGGCAACCTGGGCGCGGCAGGCACCTTGTCCACTCTACTGCGACGCTGTGTGACCGAGGCGCGCGCTCATCTGCACTTACGCACTGCTCTACTCGACGCCGCTTTACCCGCCGTCAAAGTTCTGGTTAACCTATCGCATTCGTTTGGTGGATCGAGTGAGTTTTCCTAGCTAAGTCTAGATTTCATCAGTTTCAGTTGAAATTAAGCTTTGTAAGGTCGGCATCACAAGTGATTTTATGCCGCCATTTTATACAATAATATTACAAAAATTATCTAACAATTTTTACTATTTGTATATGCTCAGTAGAGCAGTATCTGGACTTATTGAAATATATACAAATTACTTGCCGTAGTTAAACTACGTCATTTTTAATGAATTCGAATATGGGGTCCCTTATCATGAATATTAAATCTATATATATAAAATATATTGATAAGCATTTAAGTAAACCTACTAATTATGATCTTATTTTAATATAAACAGTAGTTAATATATTTAGATATTTGGGGCAATGAAAATTTTCTATCTCAGTAACAATCAAAGTATCAATTGTTAAATGATGCAAAAAAATACTTAATTATTTTTATATATTTATTATATATATTAGACTGTGGATCTATGAAATTAATAATCTCCCGAAGAATGACTAATCATGGGTATTTGTTTCTAGCGTCGTCAGTGGGTGCTCAGGTGGTCGGCGAACAATCTTCCGTGATGGAAATGTGTCTCATAATGTTAAACAACCAGGACAACTTCATACCTGACTCCAACAACTTTGACTTCTGTGTCTGTGTAAGTCGTAAAGTAGTTTTATCGTATGTTTTCTGAATTGGGTGGCATCACTAGAAGCTTTGTAAAATTGTACTTATAAGGAAGAGACAAATAAAACAAAATCTTATATTACATGTATGCTAGATTAGATGTCAAGTACATTGTTTTTAATTTCCCAGGAAAAAACATATAGCAAATAAAGTAATAAAATTGTAATAATTGCTAGTGACTCGTTTTTCGTCTAACATGCAGTTTATAAAACAGTACATTGACAAAATATGTGACGTCCTAATCATTTTTCCTGAACGTTCATCCAATAATTTGAGTGTAATATGTATAATCGGTTCGTTCTAGGTGTTGATGCTGCTTATAAACCTAGTACAAAACAACGAAATTAATACCCAACGTTTGCTAAGTCTTCGGATACGCGTTGATCACGAGCATGACGTCATCTCGAGAAGCGTGTCTGCGTTGGACCTTATTTTGGATTTATTCTACAAGAGAGTGGAACTTGCTAGGTAATGTATTTACGTACCTAGACATAATTATGCACCTAAAACAAACTATATTGTAAAATGGTTTTAATCTACGATTTATGCGCTTATCAAGTGTAAATCATTGAGATATAATGCTTTAAAGGGCAAAGGGCACTTGTGTAATAGTTATAAAGTACAAAACGACGTGAAATTTTACTAAAGTATTCATACCTTTGTAATATAGACATCATGTTTAAAAATCCATGTTCCATGAAGTAACTAATTTTTAGAGCTAAAATTAGTAACTTATGAGTTTAAAAATTAATCCATATATAGTATATAGTCATAGCTTCGAATATAAGTGTGATTTTTGTGAATATATTAGCAAAAAGCCTTATTAAGTAATTTTACGAAATGAATGCATTTGTACTTATCCATTTTTAAGTGGACTATAACGTTTTTGCATTTTTAATAGGCGAGCTGAGGAGAACACAGATGCCTTGCTGGATGGCGAAAAAGATGGCGACAGTGATAATAAGAAACAGCAAGACGACATTGATGAGACTGTCGCTAAATGTAAGTTATTATTTAGTATTTACTTACTGTTAATTTAATAACGAGTCAGTAAGTAATTAAATTTAATCAGTAACAAATATAATAATTAGTAAAGTTGGTTACTCTCTAGCTGTATACAATATTTAAATAAAACACTTAACGGTTTAAAACGCGATATATTAGTTAAACTTATTTGAAAATGATTTTTAACTTCGGCCCGACGTTTCGGATGCTTTGCAGCAGCCGTGGTCACGGGGAGACGTTTAAGTGTTTTATTTAAATGTGTACTACTCGCGTAAACTATAGACAGTATGTAGACAATATTACAAGAAAACTGGACTTTCTATGAAATCATATATATCAAGCTGTAATATAGATAAAAATACATTTTAAATTAAATGTACGGTTAGAGCATTTTATCTTTTAAACTATATGATAAAAAGTAATTATTTCGTTTAATTGTGTTTTTAATCTTCATCATGACATCTTAGTGTTGGCTCGAGCGGGTACGCACATGGAGCATACGATGGTTGGCGCATACATCGCTCTCCTGGTGGGTAACATGGCGGTGGTGTCACGCGCACACGCGGATGCGGTGCGGGCACGTCTGCCCACATACGCACCGCTTCTGCCTACTCTGAACAAATACTACACCTTCCTGTCTCTCACTGCCAGCGTAAGTATATTTTTGCTATGCGACACATTTTACAGAGTACGAAATTTAACAGATAGTGAATGATTACCACCTTTTTCTGTTATTAAATGATAGTATAAGAATCAAAAATAATTTTTAAGACTCGTGATAAATTAAACATTAATATTTAAAAGTTTAATATTTTCCACATGATGGCACTATATAAATTAAAAATCGATTATAGAATGTACTACACGGGCAGGACTTGAACCGGCATCCATAGTTCCGTGCTGTTGCTCGAACCAATTACTGCAACCGTGTATTTTTTATATATTAAAATGAAACATTTTAACGGTTGAAAAAATAATTATGAATATATATTAGCTAAACTTATTTAAAAAAATATTTTACTGCTGGGGCTCACAAACTACATACAGTATTTACACCTTAATGCTAAAGCGATGTGTTGTTATGCATCATAGATACGCTACTAAATAGTATAAATAAATCTCATTTATAATGTCTAATTTCAGGCGGAAGCGGCGATTGTGGCTCACGTGAAATCGACTCACCGAATAATTCAATTCATGGAAGCCAGCGACAAAGAGAGCTTACCCGCTGAGCCGCCCGCTCCAGCGGCCCCATACACTAGCGCTTACCCTAATTACTATCAAACGTCGCCGTCGGACGTCCCCCAAGATATGTCACTGAGCAACCTCAATTACAGCATGAATTACAGTTCATCCAGCTCCGACAGGATGTCATCGTCTATGGGGGTCGATGGCTACCACTGACTCACCGACTTAGCGTTACGAACAAGATACAATGTCGAAAGCAAATAAGGAATGTCTCACAGAGGAATTGAAGGATTCTTTTTTAGATATATTGCTTTGTTATGACGAGAGTAAAATTATACTGTCTTACTAATAAACTTGGAGGACATGTTTTATTAATAAGACCGATAGCATTTTGTATTAAAAGCAATAATGTATAGGATGTCTTACTGAACAAATTATAGGGAAAAGTAATAATAGCCGTTACTTGTTTTTGGCTGGGCCATTTGTATGACGCAGACTGTGGTCCAAGTATGAGAAAAACACAAGTAAATTCCTCTGTGCTTAGCGTGTTAAGATTGTGTTCGGACTCAGTGTTTTGTTTTCGAAACTCTATCGCGTAACAGACTTGTATATATACTCTTAATCAATGAATGTCATGCCATTTGTAATGTTAGTATTTTCATTGTTGCATTGTTTTAGTACCTCATCATTTTTACCACGCCCCTGTAAATAGGACCGGGTTAGATCTTAATGAAATTGAGATATTTCCGAGTTTAAGCCGATTCTGGCGATATGAAAGTGCAAATAGGGTAATTGTATAGATGTGAATTCTGTTAAGTACGCACTTTGTATAGATGAGGGTTGAGATGTTCTCGCGTGGCACAAGTTTGTAAATAGTTAGCTAGTTAAATAGATCGGTCGGAGTTGTAGAGGGGATTACGAATGTACAAACGCTGTTAATTACTTGAGATTCACATATTGCAATAAATAGGACAAATCTTGTTTGGACTTTTGTTATCTCGTGGTCTACTGTCGTGGACGATTAAGTGGACGCAGATTGGTCATGCCTACGTCTCAATTTGAATTTGATGTTGGAAATAAATTCAATCTTCCTTTTGACAATAGAACAATAATTTCATTAAAAACTCATTTGAAAACTTTTCACATGATGGTATTATTTAAATAAAACACTAACGGTTTAAAACGTGATATATATGTTGAAACGTCGGGCCGAAAAAAATACAAATATATCGCGTTTTATACCGTTAAAGTGTTTGATTTAAATGTGGACTACTCGTAACTACAGATAGTATGTTGGCATTATACACATTTAAAATGTCAAACTGTTATTAAAATAGTAATACTAAAACAAGTTTCAAGGAATAACTAATTTGGGTCCACTAATAAACACGATATCCAATATCTATTCTCTGAATTAAAACATTCTAAAAAGTCACCAGTATTTAATATGTTTTAAATACTCCATTGAATAAGTGAAAGCTCTTGCATTTTAACGTTAGTGTCTTGTTTTACAGTCTAATGGCAGTTTTGGAGGGTTTGACTAGGGAATTCGTGGACCGATGGCTTTATAAAGACTAGGGAATAAAACAAATTATCAAACCAGGAATCGGACACAGCAATTACATTTTGAGATTTGTGTATACGTAACACGTATACGTTATGTACGTAAATCTACGTACAGCGCACAGTTACGCAGTAATAAAAGTACTTGTAAGTCGTATCAGTTTTCGGATTCGGGAATATAACCAGATTTGTATCTGGTTAAGCTGGAGTTCGGCTTAGCACATCGCTCCACGCATTCCCATCACAACCTTCCCATAGTAATTCTAATCTAGCTATTTCCACCTCCACTAAGTAACGAGTCGGACAAAGCGATCACATAGTATTTATCGAGGTTGAAATAATTGCTTGATAATTTATGTATGTTGTTGAATAATGCATCAGAATGAATTGGTTAGTTGCTAGGTTGTTATAGCGATCGATAGCCTTTATTATTAGTATAGGACGCGAGAGAAGCCCGTGAATTTATCTAAGATTTGAATAACACATTTTTCAACTTCACCAATCACAATAGTTAAGTTTTTAATTATTTATTTTGCTCATTATATAAATATAGCTTTAATTACTTTCGAGGATAGTCTTAGTGTTTCCTTTACCCTTCACAGCTTAGTGCTTAACACGACGGCACCCTACTTAACCCTTCGATACTTTATAATCGACGATTCTGTATTCCAGACTCACTAGCCCTGGGTAAATTAGGTACAATTTTAAAGAAAAAATATTTTGGAGATATCTTTTTTATTCTTCGGTCGACGTCAATGTTCGACTGAGGCGTTTATTATATTAGCTTTTAGGGATGGTTTTATGTGGGTATCAAATTCTCAGCCTTAATAGTTTAGTCCGGTTCGTGTGAATGATTTGGTGTATCGTAGATTTTTGATAGCGTTGTTTCCGCAACTGAATTTGGTACCTAATTTCGCGACTTATTTAAGTGGTTTGACTTACAGACTGGTATAATCTTTGTATAGTTTTATTATTATATCTAATTATATTTTACGTAATTTATTGAATGTAGTTGTATGGTTTTGCTCTGTGCGTTGAATATTGTAAATCATATGTTTCTATAATATTATGTTGTTAGTTTATCCCGAGAGTTTGATATCTTACGAAATTATTGTAAATGTATTGTGTAATTATGTTTTAAAGTATTACCTGTAATTATTAAAACAAGGACAAGTAAGAGTGATTTTTATTGTTATCGTTTGGAATAAGATAATTGGTTTAATGCCATCTAAACGAGTTAAATGTGCAAATTAATTGTTGCATTTGTGACTATCAGTTTTAGTCTTTTTAGAGTATTGTCGCCCTAAAATATACGTGATTCTGAAGACGCTCAATGGACTGGAGGAACCATATAACTTCTTGTATGATTTTGTGATACTCTAACATTTATTTATTTAAAGTAATAAACGTCTACAATGAAAGTGCAAGAACGTGAATAATCTTCTCGAGATTAACAATCTGTACTATATAGCCTAATGCTATATGCATAGAAAGGCCTAAGTTATACTATCTAGGATTGAACAAATCTTGCGTATTAGGTGCCTGTTATTTCACATAACTTCATATTCTATCAACCGCTTTCGTCCTGGCAATAGCGGGAGCTCGAATCGTAGGCCAATCCCCGCTTTCCGTGAAACGTTTGTTAACCGCCATGAGCTGCTCAAAGTTAGCCTTCGCCAGCTTATGTTTATTTTGAACCTTTTGCACGAGCTCTTCGTCGTACACTTCTTCTGGCTCATCTAATTTAATGTGGGCTTTCATCTCTTGAACGGTGACGAGGAAACAATTCCACGGAGACCAGTCTTCGTTGACGTGCCATCGACATAACCTCAGCTCCGATAAATCTCCACATTCGCTGATGGCCGAATGCGCGTACCACAGTTTTTCCACTATAAAGAATATGTCTTTCTCCTGTAAAACGAAAGCGAGTGATCCCCAACATTTACGCTTCCTCTCGTCGCGTTGTACCGCTCTCAGTATAAACTTATACGGCGTCATATCTACCCAACTGCGCTCGTTAACATCCTTCCACGAGCACGATGTGCACACTAGGAAACCGCTTATTTTTGCGTTCAAAGGGAAGTCCTTGTAAAGTTTAACTTGATGGCACATCTCGCAAAAGTATAGCCGCTCGTTTTGCATCTTCCTATATTCTCTGATCTCATTGCATTTGGTAACGCCCGAGTTTAGTTCGGATGTTTTGATCAGTCGGAAGAGACTCGCGGTAATCCTGCGTCTCAGAAATTCTAGTTGGTGATCGTCACACCTTCGGACGAGCAAGTCACATTCTCTGTCTAAGAGCGTAATTATTTCTTCCGCTAAATGGTGTCGGAATTCTTGCAATGCAAACTTCATATCGACTAGCAGTTCTATTCGCTCATTGGTCTCCATGTCGTCTCGTAGAAATGCGTTGTACAATTCCTTAAGTTTCCTAGCCTTTTGGGTTTCGACCGTGTCCATAGTTATTAGTTTTCCATCGCGGCCGTACCACGCGAACGGTTTCGATATTTGCTCTAGGAACTGTTTCTCTCTGATCTTTCGGCTGTCCTCTTTCACTTGAATTCTATACGCTTCAATGCACCGTAGTAGTTCGACTTCTTTATCGAGGAGCAAAGTAAATTCAGCTATTTTAGGACCTTTGGAGTGTAGCTGAGATATTCTTGCAATTTCCGCATGTTTCCATCGATCGACCTTTGCACATAAAAATATAGTTATTCTGACCTGAATCTTAATATCTAAAGAAGAAATACTGCACAAAGAAATTTCTCTTACCATTTAGGCAGCTACCGAGTAGGTCTAAAAATGTATTTTTATTGAAATATAAATTTCGAATAAATAAGGATGTATTGAACCAAAAAAGTAGTATCAGCATAGATTTGGTTTTTATTCAATTTAAGGTGGAAATAATCTGAACCTGATGCCTTTTAACACAAAGTTAAAATTGATGACACAATTTTAACTATTACTACTTATATAACTTTTAATATCATTCTTTTAATTGTAAGTTTTATTTATCACTTATTTTAGTTGTAAGATTTTTACTTTGTCATTATAAACAGATTTATTATTAAATAAATTGATGCCAACGAAAAAAGTACATAACGCACCACCAGGTTATTACTACTCGTGCTGCTGTTTTTTTCTACTCTTAAATAGTACAGATAAAAGTTATACCATCGAATAAAGTTGATCGAAATCTTCTCTTGTTTTCGGAAAGGTCTTCGTTATAAGGTCTCCGCGTAAACGACGTTCCATTGCTTCACGTTCCAGCCTCTCTTCCTCTTTCATTCTAGCTATTCTCTCCCTGAAATAATACTTTATCCTTTAATCATATGAGCTTTAAATAATATTATGGAGACCCCAAATGCATCTAAGTGCGTGTTTCAAAATGCGGTGAAAACTAGTGTTCCTTCGTGTTCCCAGGGCTCCCTTAAAGCACCGTACAGGGCTAGTGGTGTGTTTAGTGGTTCTGGTCGGGTATACGATTTACCACACTCCCCACGTCACACTTGCCCGACGTGGGCGTGCATTAGGCATTCACACCATCAGTAAAGAAAAGGTTGAAATTAGGCAAAACATAAAGGCTGATTATCTTTTTGACGATTCAGAAGATCTAGATGTCATTGAAACAAGAGCGAAAATATGTTCAACCCATCCCTCGCTTAAAAAAGTGTCTTCCTGTGATTAACTCATCGTGTAAATTTTTTAAAGGTTTTATTTAATTTATTGGTTACAGACTTGCATTCGCTGAGCCATCTGTCAACTTTTTGCCTGAATTGATGATGTCTAAAGGCTCGCTGAATAATTGAAGCGTAGTGGTTGTGGTTCAGTCGGTCTATCATTTCTTCATACGTCTCATATTTTCCAGGCACAACAATCCTATCGGTGACATTGGGAATGTAAGCGTGAACCGTGTTCATTTGAGTCGCTCGACTGTATGCTGTGTCCTGAAAAATCTTAATGTTACTTATTTATTCGAAATTAGAATATATTGAAAAAGCAAAAAATATTATCCCACTGTGGTCCAACTTTTAAAATATTTCGTTTTATATCGACATCAGCAATTCTATTGTCGCGATATCAATGTATACTTATGATTTAAAGTTCGGGCAGGTGAACTACTTATACGTACATATATTTTTTCACGCATCTCAGCTGTCTGGGTATCGCGACAAGTTTTGTTTTCGGGTAGCAACTTTTCCGGTTTCTGAGGTGTTTGGGTATAGGCATGGTGGTAAATTGCTCCTGAAATTAACACAAAGCAAAGTAAGTTGTAATTTAAATTAAATTATTTAGATACTTAAACGGTTGTGTACCCGTATGAATGTTTCTATAACCGCCCAAGAAAGGCTTTTTCATGAGATCCGAAAATATTTCCACATTAATATGTTTCAAAGTAGTGCCAAACGGAACCATCACAGTCAACACGTCATTCATAGGCATTTCTCTGTAAAGCTTGTCTAAATTTAATTTCACATTATTTTTTGTCAAAAGCTCCACCTCGACAATGCCGTATTTGTCGTAATCCAAGTCCAAAAGAGCCATGCGATCTTTCAGCGGACGATCCGCTCTCAGCAAAACTAAATTGTCCGGGTCGACTTGAAAGACCCCAGCTAAATTATTCTTTATTTCGTGTATCTTCATAATAGAGTGGTAGGAGCGCGTGAATATACCGTTCTGATTGCGGACACGAAATTTAATAGCTATAAATGCCACCGTTTTCTTTTTTGGGAGAACCGATTGAAGCAGTTCATGGACGTAGGATTCCTTTGGGACAGACGACAGAGAGAATTCTTCAGAATCCTTTGTGTATACGTCGACTGTTAGATTTCCTAGAGCGTCGGTTTTCAAATCGGATAGAAGACTTGTGTCCTTTAAAACATTTCTGTTCTTTGTTAATAACAGGTTGTTATTCGATACTGATAATAATTTCGCTAATTTGCGCTTTACGTATTTAATTGGCGTGCTAGATGGGAAGACTTTATTGAACACTTCGTTGGGGCGTAGAGGTGATCTGAACGAGACGAGAGTGTGACTGACTGGACATTTGTATTGTTCGAGTTCTCTCGCGCATGGCGCAGTGAGATTTCGAGAAATCGCATCATCGTTTCTTGGAGTACTGACTTTCTTATATGGTGGTGCTGTAAGCAACTTTTCCCGACCTAATTCACACTGGCATGCGACCACTTCCTTAACACAATCTGCGTTTGGTGCGATCCCCACTGTCTCATGTCGGTACATTTCCGTAACATGTAACATAATAAAAATATAACAACACGATTAAACCGATCTACTAAAATTACTCAACCAGATATCAAAAATACTTTATACAAAACTACGTGACAAAATTCAAACAAAGAAACAGTTGCTATGGAAATAAAAATTGCGTTGGTAACGAGAGATACAGCTTAGACTAAACAAAATACCCACACAGAGAATAATAGACATAAAGGAAGTTACTTACTTCAATTTTTTTTCTATTTTATGAAATCGTAAAGAGATTAAATAACAACCGCTCATCTAGCATATTACATACTTTTATTATGCGCACATTTGGTTGGACTACACTAAAATTAATGTCCTTTGTATTGTAAATCAGGTCAGGACTTTTAACAGGCATCCCTATTACCTTAAAAAAATTGTCATATTAATCTTTTCATTTTGTGATACCTATGTACTTGCCTTACTATTTTAGTATTACGTTGAGACAAAACCTGCCTTATAAGAAAGCCTTAAATGTTTATTGCATGGAAGTTTTCTAAGAACCTCGTTATAACTATAATAAGATACTTATTAAATACATATTTATAACATTAATGTATAAATTAGGTGTCAATTTACCTTAACTTATGGGAATTCTGAGTACCTTATATTATTAGAATTTAGCGTGATTGTATTATGAAGAAATACCAAGTATAATTATTATGGGGGCATGTAAAAACGGGGTCATGTAAAGCTTTAGGTCGGTAGGTAGGAAAATATAATAAAATAATAGACATTATTATATAGTGTAAAACAATAGTTTTATTGAAAAGTGCCTGATGTTCACTATCGACAACGAAGTGTGAAAGTAATTGTCTAAGCTCCATAGTTGAAGTTGAAAGGTATTTTTTACTCAACAAATTTTTCTAGTGCCTCTAGGCTTGTGGTATAAAAAAATAACTTCTATTCACCTAAAAGTAGCGCTTACTTGTAAACTCCTTTGAATATAATATCTACAAAGATGCAATGATTTTAACCACGCTTTATGAAAGTTACGGAACATTTTTTATTCAAGTTTGCACATGACTGCAGCGCGTTAACAGTGTAAGAATATTTTAAAGAAGCTTTTTTACTCAGTCGGGAATAACTAGGACCTAAAATGGGTAGTTGAAAGTAAATAAAAATTGAGAAAACAATAAAATTACAGCGCAATAAAAGAGCGAATGTGCCGAGCATAGCTGGCGTCATATTAAATTCTTCCGAAAACATAAAAATGATTTTCGATCGTAAAACTATAATTTACAGACGTAAAATACGCTGAGCTTATACCTACTGCGCTGTTTTAGAACGTCCCTTATGTATGTCCCCAGTATGAGTCATAATGGCATTGAAGTATAGGAATACGTGTCTTAGACAAATTGATATTACATACGTGACATCTGACAATATGCAATTTGGCTGTTAAATCTATTAAAGATCTTATGTATAATAATAAAAGAAATATAGTACAATGGACTATTACATCTGACTAGGTATAACTGAGACTAGAAGGGATTTTGAATTCTAATCAGCCACAAAAAACTAACGCTATAAACGCAGACTCAGTGATGTGAGAAGTGATTATTACGTTCAACCGAGGGGACTTGCGTTCTGTAAACACGTGTTTTAATCAAGCCTGTTGCTTCGCGTCCGTTAGCTGCGGCCAACGTTCGCTTTGCAAAGAAAACTTCGCATACGTTTTATTACTACAGATATGCGCCTCGGGGCTTAATTTCGACGTCCACGCACATTTGTTTTGACTACACAACGGGGAAAAAAGCGAGTTTCATATCGATATTTAGTTTGTTAATCGCGATGTTTTCAGTAATCGTGGAGAGCAATTTTACTGTGTCCGCGTCTATAAAGACGCCTGCAGCAGGGCGAGGGGCGGGTGCAAGTTTATTCGATTAAAGCCCGCTGTACACAGAAATTATCAAACGGAACGCACCGACAGCTCAGCGGTCCGTGAGGAGCTCTACATTAATAGTTTTTGTTCACCAACTCGCTTGTTTCGCCCGGAACAGGTAATGCATTCGGACTTTTTCTTTGTATGAACGGAGCGTGTTCCTCACCTCTCGTTTTCAAACTATGTTGAGGAATTTGTAGTCCAGTTATACAAAATATCGCAAACCTTTGACTAATTTTGAAATAGGAACGTGGTCGGTATATTATATTTGATAACGTGGTGAGTGCTTTGTGTTCAAGCTATTTGTGACAGTTATTTCTTCCTATAAGTATTTACATCTTCAATACAGACCACGTATGAAAAGATAGGTATGTTTATTTAGTTATTCTTAGGAAGATGCAGGTATCACATTGATATTTTTTGTTTTAAATGCCTAAGTTACTAAAGCGTCACAAAAATCAAAAAAATTGAAAGTCACTATTCAAAAAAGAAAAACAAATTAAGAGTGTATATGTAGGCTATATGGTTTAGCTTAATGAGTACCTATAAAAGTGAAACTAATTTAACGTTAACTATTTAATATTCATAGGTCGTATGTCTATTTACTTACTTAAAAAACGTCACTTAAAAAACACAACTAACTATTCACTAATAAAGGGATTGTTAAACATTGCCAGTATTTTAGAACTATTGTAATACGAATTCCGATCGTCAATATCAGTAATGACTGTTGATTAGCCTGAACGGTGTAAATTAATCAACATAATGACACTACGTGCGCATTTTCCATGAGAAACTTACAATCAGTACTTACTGATTGAATTTTGGCAAAAACACTGTAATCCGACGCATTACGTGATGTCTTAAATCAATGGTATCTTTCAAAATTAATTAAAGAACTCATCAAAGAAAACCTGTGTTTTGTAGGTATTTAAGGAAATAAGGGGTTAGTAATTAGTGTAAACCTAATTACTTCCTACTGATTCGTGCCAGTAAAGTACACTTTTTATCCGGAAAAGCGGATTCAAAAGATTTCCTCTTAAATATTTAAGACGTCCTAATTAGAATTCTTAAAATAGATTCGACATACGCCAAACGAATTTCTGAAAATGTACTTCTCTTCTGTGCGAGTTGAGTGAGAGAAGGTAGTTTATTCGGATTGGTCTGAGTGCGCTACAAGAGATCGCTTGAAGAACAGCTATTGTTGTCATATGAATATTTGGTGTTCACTGTCGCTATTTTTAAAATGAAAATTTATAGAGTTAAAAGCTTCGATTGCTCCATCATTAGCAGGTATTTAGCCTTTTCCGGATTGCGGTTTTCAGTTAATTTGCCGAGTGCATTTCATCTGTGTCCTCCGCTCGCTATCCGGAATATGTTTTATTTATTATTTATGAAATTAATACCGACGCAAAAACAACATTCTCGATGTATCGGGGTAGTGACCGCAATCTTTATTGCATTAGTGGATCAGTTAACATATCGTTCATTGCGCTTTTAACTTTCAAATGCATATTAAATGCTTTTTCATCTATCTACGCAATTAACGACTCGGAAATCGAATACGTGGATCTACAGTTCATATGTAGCGTTTGACAACAGCATCATTCTTATGTCCCACTAGTTTGGGTGTCCTCTCTTATAAGAGCGTAGATACTCCAGTGGGGCTTCGTGGGCTAAAACATACACCTAGACCTCAAATATGTGACGATTACCGGGACCGCAGAATTTTCGTTGAATTTCCAAATACCGATATAGCATATAGACGCACGATTCAAACCCGGGAAATCGTTATCTGAATCTGTTAAGTACCTCTACCACAAGACCAGCAAAGCACAATAACCTTTTAAAAGCAGTATTCCTTTACTGCGTCCTTAAGTTAGAAAATAAAAAATTACTAGCGTTTAATTCACACTTCCACACGCGTAGCTTCTAGCCACAATATCTTTTAATATATCTCTAGGAAAGGAATTATTCGAGTAAGTTTAAAATCGTCATATCCCGAGTTTATCACATGTGAATATTATGACATAACGAGAAGTTTTATTACTTTGCGGACAGACGTGCCCAGGGATTAGGTGCCAGAATATCTCACACTTTAATATCGTGATAATAATCCACTTACCTGGTAAATATACCTATAGACGGTCTATTCATGGTATTAAAAATATTCTTAATATTTGCCGAAGAGCATCAGAATGCAGCAACCGAACCGAACGAACTCAAGATGCTATTTTGCTAAAAGCAGTTCTAAGTATGACGAGAAAAATTAATCAATTTTATAACTTAATATCTTATAAACAAATGCACATAATACATTTTTTTCTACACACACAGTACAAGATACATCTATACCACGAATCGGCAGAAGAAAAGTCTTAAAGAAAAATCATATTATTTTTTTCAAAAAGATGATTAAGACATATAAATAACGACGAGTACCTACTTATATTTATAATTTGACATCATCTGTCACCAGTACACGTTAAATTGTGCTGAAACTATAAACATACTTCAAATGAAAACATAGCCTAGCATGAATTGTGGAATTCTAAAACAACTTTATTATTAAAAGTAACTTACGTTACCAGGCGGTTTAAAAACCCATCCACAATGCCGAATAATATATATGTACTTACTTATAGATAAAAAGCAATTTGAACTTTATATTGCCAAGGATTAATATAGTAAAGTAATTTATAAAAGCTCCGCAATATGTGGCCGGGGAACCAAGAAAGCTTTTTTAGATGAAAAGGAATAAAATTAGTCACAATGGATCGCTGCTTGAGCAAGAAATTAGCTGCCAATTGCATCGAACACACTATTATAAGTTGGATTATTGTTTTGTTCGATGTTTTTAGAACTCGCGTGAAGTTGGATTAACTGCGTTGTTAGTAATACACGTCCACAATCGAGCTTCGGCTTTTTGTTTTTCTCTAATTTAGCGTTGCAACAATTGCAACTTGCATTTGAAAAATAATTGAAACGGGGAAGTTTCTTTATTAATTATTTAGGTATTCTACACTTAAATAGAAGCATATAAAGTGAAGTAATCCAGCATATATGTGCTAATTAATTTCTGATGTGAACGTCAGTTTAAAAGTCAATCGACGATGACAAAGGCTTAAAATACATGAGTTTTTCTCTATTTTTTCATGATCTATGATATATAAAGGTGTGATGTTATCCTTTTTTTTTGTTTCCTAAAAATTCTCTCTTATACGATTTAAATACGTAAAGGTACTTATATACGCACAACATGATTGCGCTAAAAAAATAGCTATGAATTTAATAATAATAATAAAAAATACGGAAATATTCTTATATTATCAACGCTTTAATTATGTTCTTCTATTTGTATTTATTGTTAATTTAACAAAACTAAACTCTGGCTTTGACTTAGAACGCACTAGCCTGTTAGTATAATCCAAAGTTTATCGATGTGTATTCGAAGACATGTTACATCTGAATATTCCTCGTCAATATGCCTTGAACATGTCAAGCTCAGGACGGATAGGAAGTTAGAACTCAATTTGTGTCACTTAGGATAGTGTAACTTTCTGAAATCTTACATAAGGAATTTATAGGAAAATCTCGTAGATAAAAACATTATATGTTGAAAAATATAACACTCGTTTGAAAACTTTAAAATTTTTACGTTTTATTGCACATGAAGGCACTATATAATTTAAAAATCGAAAATAAATTGAAAAAAAAATCGATTAGGTGCGGTAGGTGCATGTATCAATAAGTTGAAAAAATTCGACAATGAGGTATAGGACTCAGTAGCTCAATTGGTAGAGCAACAGCACGGAACGCTGACGATGCCGGTTCAAGTCCTGCCCGAGTCGAAAATTTTTTCAATTTATTTTCGATTTTTAAAATATAACAATCATTTAATTAGAATACAGAAATTTTCCCTTATGGAATACCTTGACAAACCATTTCTATCTCCGTTTAAGTCATCGATTTATTTAAAGACTGTGCGACCCAACTGTTTCTCCAGATTCAAACCTGGACCTCTCATGCTTAACGTAATGCCTAGCCTAGTATTTTTTTTTAATGCTTGAAAAGAGGGCGCGCTTAATAATTAAGCTACGTAGGCTTAAAAGATAGTAGAAAGTGTATGTTTGCCGTTTTTAAATAATTTAATTTCTAATTCGTACCAGTACTAGTATTTTTTTATTGTTTATATTACAAATGAGAAACATTAAACTATAATAAGTCAATAAGGTACCCACGAGTAGAACGCTTAGTATATTTTAAGAACGTTAAAGTCTATTGACGTCTTTTATTACTTTGAAATTTTAATTATAAACGTTTTCCTAATCTCCACGGAGGCTTCATTAGTTGAAATATTTATTATTTCAGTGTAACAAAGACATTGATTACGGTGAGAAGTGTCTCTAGCTCCGATCGGGTAGGGCACAGAAGTCTGATTTACTTGTCTGTTTGTGTAATGTATGATGTACCACAAATGGTAAAGGTGATTATCCTAGTACCTGCCGACAAATGTACCAGGCAACTATAACCCACTGGAGTCGTTCCGGTAAATAGCAGTAAACAGTCCTTGAGTTGCAATGCGGTATGAAATGTTATGCAATCTGCGTAGCGGTCCAGATCCCGAGGACGGCGGCCCGATCACGCACGCCGCGTTTCGTTTGTTGAGGATTTACCAACCTATACTAATATGTTTGTGTGTCTCGTTTCTCTAAACAAACTGAAGCACACTGGATTTCAGGAATTATTTATGTATACATGTTAGGTGGTGTCCTGATTTCCGTGATAACCCATTAACGCGTTATACTCGAGAACTGGATTCGGCAACAGTACTACCGGTCGTATACTCCACTTAGAAAAAACAGCGGGGCGACAAAACCGACAGCATGAGGTTATATCAATCTGTAATGTAATAACATCTGTGAATCATATTCGATCTCAAAAAGACGATATCTTTCGTACCGTTTATTATAAATAAACAATCATTATGAGAACCACGTTTAGCGCTCTTTACCCGCCTAACAACTAATATAGTGTAATGCGAACGGGAAGCGTACAATCAGAGTCCGGATAAACGTTAGCGAACATAAAAATGCACGTGTTTACGAACCCTGCAGGCCAATATCCGACAGACTGATTGCTTCTTTACTGTTACACGATAAAAATTTTATTAGACGCCCGTAAAATGTACTGAGACGACTCGCGGGACCCAGTAGCCAATATATTTAAAACTACCCTGTAACTAACCGATATAATCGCCGTTACTCGAAATTAAAAGCGTGCCTTTACTTCTGTTCGTACTAACTATATAGGTATTATTATGATGTATAAAACAAAACACGCATTCAATGAAACCTCAGTATAACTCTAATATCAAATTTGTCATTTCTTTTTTCAAATGAAAAATATAATTTATATAACGATTACGAGTTTAAACGTTCCAAGCTAAGATTTTTTTATGCTGATATAAATCGTAATCATTCAGCTTCTTGTCACTTCTTGTCACGTCGGCCGAACAGCCCGAAAAGCAATGATATGCTGAACGATGGCCGTGAAAGCCTTATAGAACTTATCTGGTGGATAGTCACCAAGCCCTTGCACTCGTATAATATCATCTTAGTTGCTTAAAACTTTTTGAGTCAACTAACCTAAATTGAATTGAATAAGTGTTTCTAAATACTGTCTATAGTTTACGCGAGTAGTACACATTTAAATAAAACACTTTAACGGTTTAAAACGCGATATATTAGTTAAACTTATTTGAAAATGATTTTTAACTTCGGCCCGACGTTTAACACGACTGTCTCCCCGTGACCACGGCTGCTGCAAAGCATCCGAAACGTCGGGCCGAAGTTAAAAATCATTTTCAAATAAGTTTAACTAATATATCGCGTTTTAAACCGTTAAAGTGTTTTATTTAAAGTGTTTCTAAAAGTTGTTAAATACAGCTCTTTGATACCCAAATGTATCTAAAAATCAATTCCCATGTTGAATATTGGAATTGGAACATCTATGCAGATATAATTTCATAAGCCCATGCAAAAAATACGCGCGCTTGGCTGAACAAACCGTCGAACTGTTCAAATCGTTTAGTAAACGCCGAATAGGTTGTGTACAAGTGAGGTACAACGATTTTAATCGAATGGAAACGGAACAAAGTGAAAATGTACACCTCAATTATTCCAACAGTTGCGTTTGGACAAATAGCCATCTGTCAACAAAACCGCTCATAATATTCTCCAAATCGGACCACTGCCAAACAAGCTTTTCGGATATTACCGCACTTTTTACTAGCCATAACAAGCTTCTTGTCAAATAACGTTTTTATTTATAAAGACGAATGAGAGAAACCGTTTCCAATTGAATTATATTCACAGTTTTTCCTGACTTTTTTTCTCATTCAGTTCTGTATACAAAAAAAAACTGTTTAAAACAAACATCAAAAACAGCAATAAAGCCAGGAACGATATATTACTTTTAGACGTTTGCAGCGAAATTTTAACATGGGTATATCTAAAAACTGAATGACATATTATTCTTCTTACTTAATGTCTGAAGCATAATACGAAAAAGTAAAAGAATTGCAATTTAATATTGTAATTTCTATTGATTGTAATAAACTTAAATAACAGGACTAAAGTAATAAAAAATACTCATGTCCGCTATTTATTTAAAAAAACAATTCAATTAATAATTAGCTACCAATCTAAGTCTTGATTGAAATGAATTATAAAAGATCAAGTAATACTTTAATTATGTAAATGCGTATTGTGCGATATAAAACACCTAGTTACCCAAGAAGCTTTACTTAGGTTTAATTACTTCTTATAAAATTTTCTGAAAACATATAAGTGCGGGTATGTTATAATTACTCGACTCGACAGGTTATTTGCGAGACGGATTGAATGAGAAACTTGCACTTACATAAGGTTATTAATAAATCAAAGGATTACGTTTTAAATAAACTTATTTTATGTTTTATGGCTTTACTTTGGGTTATATTTCTTTGAATGGAAATTTAGCCGAGTTTCAAGAAACAAGAATCTCGAGATGTACTTACAAATATTTACTGCAAATGTGTGCCCTTTTAGATAGAATATCCTGAAGTTACCAAAAAATGCATCATAAATATTTGTTAATGTATATACGAACAGAGTACTTACACTTATGAACGGCAATTCTAGTTTTTTTTTAACAGAAGGCTTAAGTTTGACTTAACTCTATTATTCTTAGAGCCAATGGTAGAACGAACGAGAGCAATTTTTAAGAAACAATTTTTCTACCTTTCTTTAAAACATTAAATAACAATAGGTACTTAAATCTAGCGCGTCGTTTCTGTAAATTGTGAATATGATAAAAACTTAATGAAAAATCTAATTAGAAGCTACCGTTTCTGTTAATATCGGTCTGTATTATTGAGCTCATAAAAAGAACTCAATAAAACGTAAAGCTTTGGTCCGCGGCGTTTGGATGGCCTCGAGTTGAGTCTTCTCCAATAAAATACAAATAGACCCGATTGAAATGCAGGACGAAGCCAGCTGTTTACTTGATGCCGCTCGGTGCCGGCCAACGATAACCATGATTGCTTTTTTGGTCCGCCGTTACTTGTAAAAATGTCACCGTGCCAATTAGAAATTAAATTACATGTTTTACCCACAAAAAGCAATGCAACGGAGTGCCCACTTCACTTCTTTCAATTCTTTTATTATTTTCTATTCATAAACATTTTAACAGCGCAAGTACTGAGATAAAATTGCTCAAGTTACATTGAAAATTGTGAGCGGCATTTTTACCTATTACGCGACGTTATACTGCTTAATCTAATTAGATTAATTTAAGCATTACGCTTAGAGCGACCTTAATGATGCGTTTCAAATTTTCACCACGAATTAAGTCTCGCGGTTTGACGTGGTTTAATAGATAAGGAGTTATGGTCAATTATGGTGAGTTAATTAAATTGCTCTGGAGCTCCAGTCGAGATATCAACGTTAAATCGAATGCCCAATCGAAATTCAATTACGTTGTGTTAGAAGAAACGAACAGTAATGGACAGGACGCTCGTTTTCTGTAAGTTGCTTACAGACATTTTATAATAACTAGGTAAGAGCCAATAATTATATTAAACTATGTTTTTATAAATAATTTTTGCAGGCGTTCTAGTGGTTATATGCTACAAAATCTCCCCTACAGTACAGGATACACATACAAAGGAAAATATAGATACATTATTAGAGAGATTAATAGAAGGAGTTAATAATGCATCTGTCGACTCAATTAAATCCAATCCCAATAACAATTCGAGGGTAATTTATTTTAAAACTGTACCTGAGCCGTCAATAATTTTTAAAAGAAAATCTAACGATACTGAAGATGAAAACAAAAACCCACCTACTCCCGACTTTTTATATGATGATTTGGAAGAAGAACAAAGTGAACAACCAAACTCCACACCTTTAATAAAGGACAAAAGTAGCGAAAATGTAACACGCCGAAGTCAGGAAAATTCCGAGGATACGACAGTAGAAAAACCTGAGAGCAGAGATGCAATAAAAGATCTCCTAGCAAACCGAAACAAAGGCAAGATTACACCGGACTTTATAATAGATCAATTTGTGTATGAAGAGAGTGAAACGAATTTTGAGAGTTTTAGAAGTGAATTAGAAGACCTAAAGAAAGAAGTGGCAAATCACAATAATAAGGACAAATATAGATTTACGAGACTATTTTCAGATATAAAAAATCTCTATAATGAAATCGAAGCGTTAAAAATAGCACAGGAAAAAATTATTACGACACAGGATATGCTATCTCGAAGGGTTAATGTACCTGATATGGAGATGGGTAGAACTACAAATCTTCAACCAAGACCAAACTGTCCTTACTTCAAAAATGGAATAAGCGTGCAACCTAATTTACCTAATTATGAAGGACGTAGATTTATCAACGCTCCACCAATGCAATATAGATCTTTAAACTCCATCCCACAATTTTCCAATATGAGACAAATACCACATTTTCAAAGCGCCATATTGAAAAATCCACGCAGGTTACCCCATAAGCAAATAATATACTTTCATTAAAATATCGCAAAACATTTTCGCTTTTTGTTTCGAAGTGTTAATTGGGTCGTACTTTTGTAGCGGTTACGTAGTTAAGCATCAGTCAACGGCAGCTAGTTAGCAAGTTGTGATCCTGAAACACAAAGAAGCTATTCACAATTGGCTCTAACTAGTGAACATCGAGTAAATACGATCAAACCGACGTCCAAACTGCGCTTAAAGATCTAGTTAGTTGCGGGGACAATACCTGTGTCCTAGTACCTCCCAGTTCACACCCATTTTGATTGTTGGTCAAGATGACTCGTGCTATCTAAATTTAGGGTATCTATATAAACATTTGATTATGCGAAATTCTGTTACCCCTATGTGAGGCATGGGGTTGACATTTTATTATCTGTTTCGCTGCTCGATTTTATTTATAGGAAAATAGACTATTACATATAAAACACTGTCTATAGTGTACGCGAGTAGTACACATTGAAATAAAACATTTTATTACATTTTTTTTTCTTAATAATAATTAGAGTAAATATTGTAACACAAATTATTCGTTTGCACTTTCCTAGAGGTATCGACTATTAAAAATATACCTTATTAAAATTTCCGTTTGCCTTTGTGTTAGACAACTTCACACTTGCACAACGAGTAATTCTCAAACGGCTATTATCAAGGCTCGTGTTAATCTGCGAGGTGCTTTCAATAGCGTTTCGCATATAGAAAAGTTTTGTGAAAATGTTTGAAACTTCTGCACGGTACGCGGGAGCAAGTTGATGTGTTAATGTATTTCTCATTGTATCAGGACGCATTAAGTACTTAGTACCTATTTATAAAGCTTTCAAATATTGTGCAGTAACAACGCTATAGTAAGAAACCTTGGAAATTTAGTTTTAGTGTTTGGCTAGTTATTATTGTTCACTATAAGGTAGAATATTAAACTAACACAATCTACAGTATTATGTGTGTTTATTATTAAAAATCCTACCCGCTATCACATTTAAGATGTTGTTCTTCTACACGTAAAATTTTAAATGAATGACATGAAAATAATAAAAAAAACTTGTGTATTGGTTAAAAATGCGAATATATTGAAACCTGGCATATCAGATGCTTTGCCGCAGTTGATTTATGTATACCGCATTTTAAGACGATAAAAATATCATATTTATATGTTTTATTCGCATAAAGTACAGACAATACAACAATGGCTTCATTACAATATTGTATGCAGTATCTACTCTAGAATAAAACGATATTTTAAAAATCTAATTATCTATGAAGAGCTAGATATTAAATGTTTACAATATTCTTCCTCACAGTTTAATCTCGAACTCACCGAAGAAAAAATGAAGTCGGGCACTAGTTAGTTCTTTATCGTGTTCTCTTTTGCTAGACATGCATTAGTCTCTTATTAGCTCGAGGAGTTTGTATAATAATGGTATCTAATCCTGACGGGAAACAAAGTAAATAAGACCTCATGTAGCTTTAAGAAACTCATTCAAATCCAATTTATTTTCCATTTCCTCACTTCATGAAAACTTAAATATGCTCGCCAGGTAAACCACTTTGAAAGCAATCCTTTGATCACAGTTATCTCTTTACGCGAAACTGTATCAAATTTTGATACATAATTTCTATTCACTTTTATACACAAACGAAACTGGCTAAACGTAACGTTATGCGACAGTGTTTTAAAACAACGAGCACTCAGATATTTCTTAACCATACCTTATTTATAATAGAGAGATCAGTTAGGGATATCACGTTTATAAAGTTTAGTATCAATAAATTAAAATAATATAATATTTGAAAATTTTAATGTTTTTCACATGATGGCACTATATAAATTAAAAATCAAATAATTTTTTTTTACAAAATACGACTTGGGCAGGACTCAAGTCCTGCAGAAAAACAGCACGGAACGCTGTGGATCGTCGGGTCGTATTTTTTTCTAATTTATAATCGATTTTGAAGTAATAATATAATAGAAAGTTTAGGCTGGAATAAATTTGATCAAGCAATCTGTAGAAATAATATTAGAGCGATGTTGTTATTTGTATACTATAGTACCAAAAATATATAATAGCATAATACTCATATATATGCATACTGACTTTAGGTAATTTCGATTTGTTTATGTAGGTAAGTATAATATTTCAAACTACGCATACTTTCGATAATGTTATATTATGGTATTATATATACATAATCGTATTCTGCTCTTTATATAGTCGTTTATATTTCATGTTTGACTCCATCTCTATTGTCAATTGACAAACTTATTAGACAAGGTATAAGAAAACCTTATACAAGTTTATACAGGAAGAACAATAAGTGATCAAGGAGATAAAACAAATTGTTTGTTCTTATCTTATTCTCGGATACAGTGTATCGAGTTTCACGGGCGAGTTAATAAGAATTCAAACGAGTGAACAGGTTACAGATGCTCGCTTAATACGATTCAGTAAATGAAACCCGGAAGGCACGATTTCATTAAGCACTGCTTTTGTAAGGAGAAATTTGAGACTCCAATGCGTTTTAATCAGCACTGCGACGTCAACAATATACGAAATTATACATATAAACATAAACAAGTTTCATATAAAGCAGTAATTTATGAAATGAATAATAATGTAAATAAACCACTTTAACGGTTTTAAACAATATCTGTATTTGTTATACTTATTTGAAAATGATTTTAACTACGGCCCGAAGCTTCGAATGCTTATATATATCGCGTAAAAATTCCACTCAATATATAATTGTATAGTTAAATACGCATCGCACTAACCTCCCGCGCTTCGATGGTCAATACAAAACATGCCTATTCATAATTATGAAAACAATTAATATTAAGCTATATTCTTCATACGAACCTATTCATAAAGTGGGTAATTAAAAACAAGCCAAAGTTGAATCTGTATAAAACAGAAACAGCATTAATGATGACGTAGGAATAATGATCTCAATAGAAATAGTGATGCATAGATACTCTCAGGTTAGCTAAATAAAAATACAGAAATGAAGAGCTGTTATTCACGACAGGCGTCGAAGCAAGGTATCTCTAGAAAGTTTACGGATTGTGCATGAGACAGGAATTAACTTATAAAAGATGCTCAACTCACTCGCCACACACAGTTTCTTAGCTAGATGTATCATAAAGAGCGAAATATTAACACGAACTACCTACTTATTTATTTGAAAAGCTATCGCGAAGTTTTGTACAATTTCGCATACTGACAATTTCTCTAACTTCATCTTTGACTCACTTGGAAATGTGTAGCGGGGAAGTTTCGCACCTTTTTCTTTTATTTAATAAACTTGCTGATGAAAATAACGAGTCGTGCATCTACGGGAATATTATTAGAAACTTAGTAATGCACGTACATACATAAGTCTGTAGGTATGTTTAACAAGGCACTTTAAAGACCGATCGGCTCATTCGTGATATTTTATTTTTAATTCATTAAAATTTAGGTATCTTCTATCATAATAGAAGCCACATTATATAAGTCTATAACAATTAGCAGGCAGGCAGGCATTGAACCGGCATCCTCAGCGTGCTGTTGCTCTAATCTTCTAACAACAAGGAACGTTGAGGATGCTGATTCAAGTCCTGTTTGAGTCGAAATTATTTAGTTTTATTATCGATTCTTAATTTATATAGTCCCATCATGTCAGACATCAATAACATGTGAAGAATATTAAAGATTAAATAAAACACTTTAACTTTGCTGCGAAGCATCCGAAACGTCGGGCCGAAGTTAAAAATCATTTTCAAATAAGTTTAACAAATATATCGCGTTTTAAAGTGTTAAAGTGTTTTATTTAAATGTGTACTACTCGCGTAAACTATAGACAGTATTTAATATTAAAGTTTTCAAACAAAAAGAGCATAACTATTGACTAAAATGTACCTTCATAGTAAAAGGAGTTAGTTGCTAAATACGTCGAATTTTTAAATCTATAATTAATCAATTAGTAATATATACAACAGTCTATAGACTATAGACTGATGAATTATGAGATTTCCTCCTATTGTAGTAAACAATTCCTCTGTAAAAGTACTATAAGCCTCGCTCGGTGAAATCGAATTAAATTGATTGTCAGTTGTGCCGGGGATTGGTATGTCGATGAGCGAATAGTATTTTTCGTTCCAATCACTTACCTATTTAACGATTTATGAACCCTAAATTTCGTTTTCAACACTTTCCTATTATACATACATACAGTATAGCGAGGGGTTTATAGCAAAATTAAATTGAAGATCTAATTTAAAAATCTAACTTATTTTTTTTTTACTTCGATTAATTTAAAGATCTATAATAGGATCTAGTTTTAACACTTTAGAATATTTTAATTTACTATTATTCGATAATACGAATTATTGGAGTTAATGTGTTATTACGGCAGACTCCATCGACCCCCGAGGTATCTATGTAAGTAGACTTTTTTACGATGCCTGTGAAAACAATAAAACAATACCAATATAATACGGACACCATTAAAGTAAAATGTATTTAAATACTGTCTATAGTTAACGCGAGTAGTACACATTTAAATAAAACACTTTAACGGTTTAAAACGCGATATATTCGTTAAACTGATTTGAAAATGATTTTTAACTTCGGCCCGACGTTTCGGATGCTTTGTAGCAGCCGTGGTCACGGGGAGACTGCGACACGAAACGTCGGGCCGAAGTTAAAAATCATTTTCAAATAAGTTTAACTAATATATCGCGTTTTAAACCGTTAAAGTGTTTTATTTAAATATTATTAGATATTTTTAGGACTCTTACATTGTATTCTCCTTTTTATAATCCATTAATTGTTCAAGTTTGACATACCGACTATTAGGAACTAAACTAGAAATCGAATTTATATTGAACCAAAATTTTGACACCGGCAAGACTTGAACCGGTATCTACAACGTTCCGTGCTCTAACCAATTGAGATACCATTCTTTCAATCTTAAATAGATTTTTAATTTATGCAGCGCCATCATGTGCAATAATATGTGAAAAA